CCCCACACTCTGCCCCACCCGAGGACATGCCCTTATTCTATCATCCCAGACTGCAGCCACTACACCTACAACAATCTAGAGAAGACTCGCTACTGCACAACGGACCACAAATCAAACTAGAAGGAAACAAGTGGTAACTAGTATCCTAGTTGAAAGGTTTAACTATTGCGAAGTAAAGTAACAGTAATTTAGCTAACACCAAAAGGGAAACAGTAAAACAGGAGGTACCAACTCCCGATAACAAAACCTGTGGTTGATTTGCTGTACTCGATGTAGTTGTACGCTCACGCACCACTTCCTACCGCCCTTTGCTGACACTCGCCTAGGTTGCTTTCCTTTGCCAGTGCTCGTGCGCCCAACTTGTCTCTAATACTCCGAGAATTCCTGAAAATACAGAAAATACCACGACCCAAAAATCAGAAGGAGCTATCACCGCTACCACTACTTTGGTGCAGTGAACTGGGTCACTTGTCAAAGGCTATTCCCACGAACTCGTTAACTCAGATCTAATTTAGAAAATATTTTAAAGTTTCTGCTATAGCTATGCCGAACAAAATCAGATATATTTTCTCCAATAGTGGAGGGAGAATAAAAATCAGATCTGAGTTATTCTCCAACAAAAATCAGATATATTTGACCTCAAAAAGGTTGAAAATCAAGAAAGAAGGAAAGATCTGGCTCTGGGTTCTCTTCCTTCCGATTTAGGCTATTGACAAAGAAAGTTGAAGAAGGAACACAGTTAAAACTTTAAGCATTAGAGTTCAGAGATTCCTTTGCCTTATTCTGCTATGATGGAAGTCCATATGTAAAACAATTCGAACTCCTGCATATTTCCAGACTGTTAAGGGTGTTTTTTTTTCCAGATTTTATCGTTACATGAAAAATTGGCTAAATTTTGATTACTTTTAAAAATGTGGCTTTTTTTAATTACTAGTTGTAAATCTGACTATTTTTGATTTTTTTTCGGGCTATTACTTGGACTTCCTTCATAGAAGAATTAATCTGATTAGCCGCCCACTCAATCGCTTAAACTAAAAATAACCGGCAGAGGTTTAATATATGTATATAATCATGTATAATTAATATATAATCTAGGTATATGAGTGGAAAAAGTAAACAATAAATATGATCGGCTGATTGCGTAAAGATCCCTTCTTCATAAGGCCCACGTTTCTTCTCCTAAGGCCCAAATTTCAACTCCGAAGCCCAGCACAGTTTCAGGCCTTACCAGCTCCACGTATATAATCCTTCCCAATCTCCAAAAACCCTAACCCTAGCATTTCTAACTTTCGCAGCTCGAGACAACCCCAATTTCTCCGGCGACCAGCAACCAGCAAATCAGCCATGGGTAAGCTTAGTTGCTCTTCACTATATCTCTCTTCATTTTCGATGTATTTAGATTCTTTTGTTCTGAATATAAGTGTGATTAGGTGACTGATTAATTTGTTGATTAAGTATTAATTTTGTAGTTTGGATTTGTTAATTGCAGGTAAGGTACACGGATCATTAGCTCGTGCCGGGAAAGTGAGAGGGCAAACACCTAAGGTTGCTAAGCAAGATAAGAAGAAGAAGCCACGCGGACGTGCTCACAAGCGTATGCAATACAACAGGCGATTTGTTACTGCTGGTACACATATTTTTTCTTTCTTTATTTCACTCTATGGATCTAAATACTGTTTTCGGCTCGAACTATATTTGCAATTGAAAAAGTTAATACTCCCTCTGTTACAATTTAGGTGACACATTTTGTTTATCGAGAGTCAATTTAACTAAACTTAAAGTTAAATTGGATTAGTTCAACTCATTATTTTAAAATCGGAATGTTGGTATTCAAAAACTATATTAAAAGTACTGTAAATTGCAACTTTCCTTGTGTCAATATGATAAAAAAATACATTTTAAAATGTTGGTCAAATTCATACAGCTTGAGTCTTGATAAGCGATCATCTAAATTGAAATGGAGGCCTGAATATATTTAAGCTTACACAGTCTTAATAATTTTGTCCCCAAAAAAAGTAGTTTAGTTTCTCTGGTTTTCATTTGTTTATGTAATATGAAACAGGCTAACAGGAGTATATATTAGTAGGTACACACACGTCCATTATTATGCAAAGCATAAAACAGAATAAGAGCCCGTTTGGCTTAGCTGATTTAGAGTAGCTGATAAGCATTAGGTACTGAAAAACACTTTTAAGTGCTGAAGCTGATTTAAAAATAAGCAATTGCGTGTTTGGATAAAAGTGCTGAAATTAATAATAAACAGTTAAAGAATTGAGTATATGAAGAGTTTTGTTTTAAAAAGAAGTATTTTAGGGATAGAATAGTAAATATTTTGGTCAAACCTAAAATGCTTATAAGCTGAAATTTAATAAGTTGGGGGAGACCAACTTATGGCTTTTGGCTTATAAGCACTTAACTTATAAGCACTTTTAATTTTACCAAACGCGTAGATAAGCCAAAAAGTGCTTATAAGCCAGTTTGACCAGCTTATAAGCTTAGCCAAACACCCTCTAAAACTGTTGATAACTGTAGATAAGTGACAAATAATGATTCACAGAAAGTATGTATGTGTTAAATGTACAAATTTTATGTATGCGAGTAAGCACTTACTCGCACATGGTTTTCACACCAACACCAGTAATAACATAACATGTGTATTCTGCATACTCTTTTATCATCTAACCATGGTCAATAACACCTCATTTATTACTTAACAATGATAAGAGTATTGTATTTCTGTGGTGCGGGTGAGGTTTTACCATACACTGCTCATATTGATATATGAATGTGCCAGTGAAATTTAACATAACAGGTGTATTCTGCATACTCTTTTATCATCTAACCATGGTCAATTAGTGTCCATTTTCACCTCATTTATTACTTAACAATGATAAAGTATTGTATTAGTGAGGTGCGGGTGGGGTTTTACCATAAACTGCTCTTGTTGGTGTATGAATGTGCTATTGAAATTTAACATACTTGAAATCTCCCAAATACCCATTAGCTTTTGTTCAATCCTGAATCTATGATCGTAAGCATTCTAGATAAGTTTTGGGGTTGTCAGATGTAATAAAGCATCTGTGGTTTAAATCGAATTTGTCTATTTTTCTGTTCAGCATTGTATGATCTTAACACAGTAGATCTATTTCATTTCTATTAAAAGAAACAAGTGGATTAATTGTTCTAATATAACAGATTTTGCTAGTTTAAGTACCAGTGCGATGTGATATTTCTGGTGTGGTTACTTTTATTTGTTAGTGGTATATCCCTGTTTGATTGCTTGTATCTATGCTTCATTTTGCAAATGAACTTTTTGAATCTTCTCTTTTGGACATTTAAATTATATTTTCTCACTGAATTCTGCTTCTGTCTGCTTGCAGTGGTTGGTTTCGGGAAGAAACGAGGGCCTAACTCCTCAGAGAAGTAGATGAGGACGTCCATTGTTGTTTTTCAAGAATTTGTCACCTTGTTTTGTTTGTAAATTTTAATTTTGGGACCTGATAATCGGAAAACTAGTTTATGACTTGTTTTTGTAGGACCAATGAATGTTTGATGTTTTGAAAGTATTTGAATTTCAGCCATGCTATCTTTTATTGATTATATCATCTTATTCATGACTTGAATGTTGTGTTATATCTATTGGGTTGCCGTTTCTGATTCGGAGGGAGTGATTCCCTTGATATTATTTCTTTGCTATGCAATCTGAAAAGCTGGAATTGTTTTCTGAAAAGTGAAAACAGATCTCTAGTACTTGGAAAAAATGTCCAGCAATTGAGCAAGTGTGAAAGTGGTGCAAATATTTTATTTTGTGGTCTGTACATACTCCTCTCGCAGGGCCATAGAGGTGCCTTGCCCTCTTGACTTTATGTGTGTTTCTGTACAGAGGTTATTCCTTTTGGCAATGCTGTTTTGTTTCAGTAGGGTAATTCTACAAATGGTGGATTAGGATTCATCGGAATCCTGTAAACCGCAATTTGTGCTTAGAATTTCTTGTGAGTTTTGACCATTTTCATAGAGTCAGATAATAATCCGCTTGCTGCCTTTGTTAAGATAACCAAATCGAGCTAAAGAAGATTTTCTATCTGTTATGGTTATACTGATGGATATTGTCATTTACCACAACAACAACAACCCAATAAAATTTCACTGAGTGGGGATTGTCATTTACCACACGACAAAGTAAAAACATTTCTGAAGTTATGTTTAGTGAAATTATCTTATACTTTAGATTATGACTAGGTACACCTGAAGTCAGTGATGTAGTCTGAAATAGCTCCCTTTAAAATTTATCTAGTTGATCATCTGTTTGATACCTTATTTGACAAGGTGTATCGGGGAGTCCAGAATCAAAGTGTGGTTTTTTTGGACATTAGGGACGGAAATAAGTGGAAAAAAAAATTGGTAACCTTTTTATATATAACGCTCTTTTAAAGGGCGCTATACTTTAACGTCAATTTTGTCCGTTAAAAATAACCGCGCTATATCTAGTGTTTGCATTTTAACGCATAACGCTTTAAAGAAATGCGCTATACATGTGCTTGCATTTTCAGTGTATTTAAAGACCTGCTATGTGCCTCTCTCTCTCTCTCCATTGAGTTTCCTAATTTTCTTTTACTTTTTTCTTTTCTGGTTTTTTAATTCATTTTTTCCACTATGGCTACCCAAATCTATTTTTTAATTCATTTTTACCATGCCCCCACCTATGAGGAAATTGTAGTTTTTTGAACAATACATAGTAGTATTTGAACATTGTAGGAATAATTTACTCTACTATGTATTTGAACATTGTAGGAATAATTTACTCCATTATTATCGTAATTTTTAAAATGTAGATCTAGTACCATGAAAATTTTAACCTCCTTGTTGAGTTGAGGCGTTCAGGTAATATGAAAAAATCAAATCAAACCGAAGATCAACTCAAACTAAAGAAGAAAACTGATTTTGTTTTTATTTTTAATTTTAAAATCAATAAATCTTGATTGGATTTTGGTTTTAAGTAAAAAATAATTGAAAAATAAACTAAATTGACTATATAAATACATACCTAAAAATAAGAATTACACACACACACACACATATATATATATATATATATATATATATATATATATATATATATCTTTGTGTNTGAAAATTTTAACCTCCTTGTTGAGTTGAGGCGTTCAGGTAATATGAAAAAATCAAATCAAACCGAAGATCAACTCAAACTAAAGAAGAAAACTGATTTTGTTTTTATTTTTAATTTTAAAATCAATAAATCTTGATTGGATTTTGGTTTTAAGTAAAAAATAATTGAAAAATAAACTAAATTGACTATATAAATACATACCTAAAAATAAGAATTACACACACACACACACATATATATATATATATATATATATATATATATATATGTATATTTTTGTGTAAATCATAATTTTTTTTACAGTACATATATTATTTTTTTGTACAATTGATTTGTAATCTTGTCCTTTGTCTTAATAGTAATTTAGATATTTGCTCTTACTTTCTAATTGGAATTTTAGTATTTGTTTTGATAAGTTCAAGAATATATTTCATATTAAAAAGAATCTATCTTTAATTGGATCCATAAATTATTCATTAGTTTTTAATTCAAAATTCTTATCAATATATCTTGATAAATGATAAATTTTCTTAAAAAGTAATTGGCATGGTAGTATTATGCTAGATTATAGTCGGTTGAATATGTGTTTGATAATGTATTTAACATACTTTAAGAAAATTTAACAAAAAATTTAAACACCGAAAACCTGATAAAACCGACAAAAAGCGAATCGATGAAAATCGACTCAATTGCTTTGATTTGGTTTATATATTTAAAAAATTGACTTAATTGGTTTGATTTATAAACACTTCAACTGTCGAGGATAATATATCTTTTAATAAAAAAATTGTAAAATACTCTCTGTCCCGCAAAAAATTGTCTTATCAGATTAACCGTATCGCTTATACGGATCACATCATATTAGAATTTTATATAAAAAAAAACTATAAAAGAGATAACAAAAATGCCACTCTAAGTCTAAAGTAGTACTTCCACCTACACATTTTACGCGAAAATATTCTTTTGGATTATGATGTTTAAGAATTTAAATTTTTATATAAGCCAAGTATCTTCAAAATACAGAAATTATCATTTAAAATGAGTATTAATAAGAGTTTTACGTATCTTTTCATTTGAGGTTTAACAAAAAAAAGTCCAACAATGTATGTCATTGATAGTAGATGGAACATAAGATTAAATAATTTAAAAAATAGAACCTGCAGGGATCAGCGCGATGAATTGTAGAAAAGGAAACTACAGGGATTATCCTGAACGAGCACACTTTTCAATCACATCTAACTAACTCTCTTCAAAGTGAAAGGAACTCTGACGGGATTCAGAAGAACATACCATACAACCATTTAGTACAAGTTCAACTAAATTCATATTGTCTTCAAATGCAACACTGTTTTTAGGTGATGCCGCAGTGGCTAAGCCAGAAATTTCTGCAAGGGTATTCAAACTTAAGAAGTGAAAAAAATTTCCCGTCAAAAGATGTTCAGCACATGTTATACACCTCTAAAACCTAATATTTTATCTATGTACATAGTGTAATTCTTCGACGAATTGACCACCCTTCGCTTCGCCCCTGGTGATGGAGATGTTTCACCCATTTCCATCAATAGCATAACAATACATGTATGCAGGAAAGACAATTTATAAACAAAAACTAACTAGTTTGCAGTTCAGTTGTCTCTACGGGTAATGGCAACGAAATCTAGAGAAAACCTTTTAACCTTACATAAACAATGGAATATCATATCAATCACATTTGGAAAAAGAAAAATACAACTCGCGCCAATAGCGCCATTTGAGCGTTCCTCTTTGGAAGATCAACGAAACCAGCTCCAACACCAACTTGATTTAGAGCGAGTTTGCATATTAAGTAAAAAAGAAAAAGAGAAACCTATTTGTCTAAAACCTATACCTGTTCCTGTAGCAGAAATTCTTCTTGGTCCACGAGGTTATCAGACTCTTTGGGAACCTTACAACTCATCACGAACATTTCGATCCTGAGTGGTTGCTTTCACCTGATGTTCGAGAAGATATGTCGTGGCTAAGGATGCATGTAACGCAGCACCATATGGAAGTGCATCTTCATTGACTCTGTAGAAAGGGTTGTGACCTGACTCGAATCGTCCTTTAGTTTCATCCACCATTCCAAGTAAATAGAAGTATCCAGGAAAAGCCTCAGCAAAGAATGAAAAATCTTCTGTCCCCATAGTGGGTTTCTTTTCTATGATCTTGTCATTGCCCAGCATCTGTGCAGCTACATCTCGAAAATGTTCATGCAAAGCTTTATTATTTACTGTCACCGGGTAAAACGGCCTATTTTCAGTATCAAAGTCAACTGTTGTGTTGCACCTTTGTACGGCAGCTTGACGTGTGATAACCTGTTAATTATTTCCAGGAAAATTTCACTTAAACAAATCGAGTTTTACCATTCATTGGTCATAGCACGTCTTTTTTTGGGACAAATCATTCAACAATCATATGATACATTGGGCATTCAAATACTAATATAAAAGATATACCTCAACGATTCTCTGTTTAAGTTGCGTGAAACTTTCTTTTGAGAATGCCCTGAAAGTTCCACCGATTGTGACAGAGTCAGGTATAACATTAAATGCGCCGCCACCTTTGAACTTTGCAACCGTAACAACCTGCAATATCATGCCTCTTTAGGGTAATCGGTGGATAAGTTGTAAAGGCCAACGTGATTTCTTTGGAGAATGAAAAAGGCATGGTAATATTTGAAATAAATGAGCAATAATTTGTCAATTTAAAGGATGCGGAAGGAGGAAGATGGGTAAAGGAATTTCTCACACAATAACCTGGGAAGTCTAACATTTTTCGTTCTTGACATGCTACAAATTGTAATATTTCCCATGTATTTGAACATGACAAATGGATATGAATATAAATTTTTTACAGATGTCACCATTCCGGATAGTCAAATGCACCGCAGAAATTCTAACTACGAAAAGGGAGGCACTGCTTTGCCCGAACATTAGCACATTTTGCAAAATGGGAAGCAAAACTTCTACATAAATGCCAATCAGAGTGTATTCAGCTAATTTTTTGCATCGGCAACAAAGATAGGGAAGGAATTATAAACTTACTTAAAATCAGCAGCAGTAAGAGCTTACAAATAAGCTGCATAAATTTGCACAACTGCTAGAATGCATGTGTTGGATTCACATATACTAGAGAATGGGGAGAGAGAGAACCTGTGAATCCAAGGGATCGGCTTCCCGTGAAACAAGATGTTGCAAACTAACTATAATGTTAGAAGCTGCTAAGATTGGATCTATAGTGTGCTGAGGAATTGCGGCATGACCACCTTTCCCCTTTATTACCGCCTCAAAGAAGCCACTGCCAGCCATGATAGGGCCAGAATTGGCGGTAACAGTGCCAATAGGATGAACGGCAGAAATATGCAGACCAAAGATGGCATCGACATTATCAAGTACCCCAGATTCAAGCATTTTCTTTGCTCCTCCACCTCCCTCCTCAGCTGGCTGAAAAACCAGAAGAACAGTTCCCTGCCATCAA